TTCCTTCCTTCCTTCCTTCCTTCCTTCCTTCCTTCCTTCCTTCCTTCCTTCCTCACTATACTCAGTTTTAGAGAATGTAAAGGATAACTGAAAGCCAGCCTCTTTTGAGGAGTCTTTTGAGCACTGCATCTCTGAGATCCTGAGACGTGCTAGCAAATCAGAAATTATCTAGTGGCTAAACCACCTTCCTAAGGATGCTTGATAGACTGATAAAGGTACAGTCCACTTTTCATCAGTTGGGTCCTTACATAAATGAGAGGACATGGGAAAGTCTATTTAGGAAACAAGCTCAGCATGGCTCAATTTAGCAGATATTTTAGGGAGCACTGTTAAGTCATACTGAAAAGTAGAGTATTGTCAGAACTAAAAATACACATCTGGAGATACTGATTCTCTCATATTTGGAAAATCAGCTTTATACTTGGTAGTGATAAGGGAAATGTTCACTGCACCTTATCACTGCACCTGTAAAAATTCTTCCCTTTATTAATATTGTCAAAGGCTGAATTTTAATCATTGTATCTGTAGATTTGTTCCCCTTTTCCCAATGTGATGCTCTTCAGCTGGGTTGGATTACAAGTCCCATCCTCTCCATCCATCCATCCAACGTAGAAGTTTGCATGCTTCTAGTTCCACAACAGTGTTCATACAAAATTGGTGTTACATGTAGTGCTCTATAAGACTCACACTGAGAATAAATTTGGCTGTTGGTGGTAAAATAATTGTCTTCTTCCTGAACACTCTTGAAGAGTGCTCAGCACATGGACATCATAGTAATTAGTTGGGAAGTTATGCACAAGAGTAATGTTATCCTCACATGTCCCTATCTAAGACACATGATTACATTGTATTTCAGTTGATGTTCCTGAATTGGAGTCAGTCACTGTAATTGTATAAATCACTGTATAAATCTCATTCAGTCTTCGTTGACCTTTTTATAAATATTGAAACTCTAATAAAGCTTTGGGGATTTGTAGTACTGTCATAACAACAGAGTTACGCTTTAGTACTTTTGTGCCCAACCTTTGAATTAAGATGATTTGTTGATGAAACTTTAAATGGCTAAAAATCAGTCTCTCAGTTTCATGCTATGGGAGTTGCTTGCCCTATAATATTTACTTAAAATCTACTCTAAAAGTCTTCCATTATCCACTAATTGACCATATAAAATTTATTTCAATATATATCTGGAAACATGGTTACTAAGGGCAGTAATGTGCATCATGGTTTCAGAGTGATGTGGGACTACTGAAGTGCCTTTGCACAATGCAATCAAAACATAGCTTGACTTTTGAGAAAGAGGAGAGAACAGTTCCACTGTATGGCTGCAGCTTGCTTAAGACTAGTTGGTTGATGCCTGTAGTATTCCTACTCAGTCAGAACAATTATACTTAAAAATGTTCTTTTAAAATATTAATTGAATAGCGAAAGTGGATAAAATTCTATACAGAAATGTGGAACACCACTACCAGAAACAAAATTCAAAATGAAGTTCCTAGATTACAGTAGAGAGTTGGGCTGAAAATAAAATAATGGAATTTAATAGTGACAAATGTAAAATGCCTCACTTAAGAAAAAGGGGTAAAATGCCTAGGGATAGAATCATGATACCTGGGTTGTTAACATGTATGAAGGATTTTGGCAAGGTAGTTGAGTGCAAAGCAACCATGAGTTAGCATTGTGATGTGGCTATTCAGAAGACATATGCAGTTTTAAGCTGCATCAACAGAAATAGTTACCAAGTCAATTTGTTCTATTGGGTTCTCCACTGGCTGGATCCACCTCTTTTTAAGAAGGATTCAAACAAGCTTGTCAGGTTCAGCCCAAAGAACTCCCCGAGACAGCGCAGAAACAGTTCTGTTGCATTTATTAGCTTCCACCTCAGGACAGAATCTCTCCAGATTTAATCTAACTTCCCAAGCCAGCAAGCCACAACAACGTGAATTCCTTAGGGTGGTACCAGTCTCATCTTCTTAAACTTCCCACGCTCCTGTTGAGGGCTAAGGGAATGCTTATCTCCTCGAGCGTGGCCTTCATCCAACCATTCCTTCACAAAGCTGGATCAGGTTCAGAAAGGCAGTGAGGCTGATTAGGAGATATTAAATTCTGTGAAGAGATTGAAAGAATGAGCAATATTTAGTTTTGAGAAGAGAAGACTGAATGGCATATGATAACACTCTTCAGGTATCTAAGTGGATCATCTAGACAGCAGGATACAAACTAAAGGATTTATATCTCAGGAAAGCAAATTCCAACTGAACATTCAGAAACATTTCCTAACAGAACATTTTGATAGTTGGAAGCAGTTACTATAGGGGGAAAGGTGTTGGCCTCCCCTTCACTGGATGTGTTCAATTAGGGGTTGGATAGCTGAGCAGGGGGTAAAATCTCCCATGATTTTACAAGAAGGAGCAAGTGGGAAAGGCTGAGCCATTGTTTCCTTTCCTGGTATGCATACCTGTCAATTCAGTTGTAAAACTAGAACAAAGTAAAGCTTTCCACATAGCTAAGCAGAGAGATTT